GAATCACAGCGGTACAGCTTAGAGGCGCGCTGAGAGTGGCATGATCTTACCGAACAGTCTCCGAAGTCGCTATCCTAGTGATCGCTGCATATCGACCTGCTCGCGCTGGAGAACAAGCGAATCCACGATAGAGCGCTGTCGAAGACAGAGCGAAAGAGACACAAGAGGAACGGCGAAGGACAATGAAGCATAGGCAGGGGCGCTGGAACTGTGGGGCCAAAGGGAGGTGGACGCACAGGATCATCAAGCAATTGTCACCATGGATGAAGCGGGAGTTTGCTGAAGTGAATTTCTATCTCTCCCAGTTCCTGAGAGGTCATGGCTACCTCAGAGACTATCTCTACTGCATGGTTGTTCAATAACCCCTCTGCAAACTTTGCGGAAATCAATTTGACACCACCGAGCACACTATTTTCCAGTGCACGAACTGGGAAAGAGAATGCAATAGGCTGAAGGTATCGACAGATAACATCACGCCAGAGAACACTGTCGAAGCCATGTTAAAAACGAGATGTCCTGGAGCGCAATCTTCCATATCATAGAAAGCGTCCTGCGAGCAAAAAGGAATGAAGGCTGTCTAAAAAAGTAACGATTAAGACGGAACAAACGTGAAAATACGCATCAAGAAAGACCCCAACCCGATGTAGTGCGAAAGTGGTTCCGGATTAGGGTCAGACGAAAAAACAGGTTGTTATTTTTAGTCCGGTCGCCTATCATAAGGTAATCCCACACTGTTGAGCAACCGGTTTTATACTTCGCTTTGATTTTTTCATCTGCGCAAATGAATAATTATGATAATAATAATATATAATAATAATACATAATAAATAATTAATAATAATAATAATAATAATAATAATAATATATTACAAGGGAGACTGTGAGAATCCATCAATGAAACCGATCGAGGATCCGCAACTCATCGGGTTAGTGTACTCTACCAACTAAAATCACAAACCCTATTCAATCAACGTAGTTCCACCCCGAAACCGCGTTAGCACTACTTCAGGATGTGTTGATTCTTTTTAGCTTTTCTAGCTTCTCTCTGTTGATCCATGTTTGTAACTGGGGAGTGAGTTTAGCTCAGGTCAAGCTTATCGCCATCTCGATCCTTCTGCCTCAGCATTGCCTCAATGTACTCTGTCATTGCGTTCCATGCATCTGACTGCTTTTCAGCATTAAGGGAATGATGTTCTCCGTAGTTATCTTATCAGATCTGCATTTTATTTCCAGGCATAGTCTTTCTTCTTTCCATCTTTCACAGGACAAAAATGTCTGTTGGGTGTTATCCGTATTTTCGCATTGAAGGCATTTGGCAGTCTTAACTTTTCCCATTGTGTATAGGTATTCCTGGAAATATCTGTGACCACTGAGGAATTGCATGAGGTATGGGTTGACCCCGCCGTGTGTACGGTTTATTCAATGGTTCAATCGTGGGATCAATATTGCGGTCTACTTACCGGTGGTTGCCTGGTCCCATCTTTCTTGCCATTTCTGAGTCAGTTCCGTGCGGCTTTCTTGACTTCGTCGCGACCTTGTTCTCTTTGTGTGTTTCAGATCTGTCACTCTAAAGCAAGTAAGTCGATTGGCGGCGTATTTGCCATTACAAGAACGGCTGCCTCGGAGACGATGTGCACATGTAATTCTGAGTGCGATGCGTCTATGTATTGCTGACATAATCTTCAGTATGATTCCTTGTTCAGCGCTCCGACCCATATTTCTGCTCCGTAGAGGAGTATCCATAGTCACTGACATTAACAAACGCTGTTTGCTTGGTTTGGGATTGTTGGTGTTGGCCATTAGCCTACTCAGGGTCGTCGTTTGTGTTGCGTAGTCTGCTGTTTTTTGTAGATGCGAACAAAAGTTGAGTATCGTGTTCAAAGTCACTCCCAGATACTTGGCACTCTTGACGTTTCGATGTTCACTGTCACCCCTCTAATGGTTATTTTGGTGAGAATGTGTTTCTGTGTTAGCATGACTATTTGGATCTTGTGTTTTGCGAGTTTCTCGAGTATGTTCCGTCATCCACGTCTTGATACGTCACATTTTCTGATTCACCTTCCATTGTGCTTCACCAGATGAGCGTGCTTTTATAAGCAGACCTACATCGTCAACATAGCCCACTGGTTCAGTATCTGACGTCATTTCGATTTCTTGTGGGCCGTCGTATAACATGTTCCACAAGTCCTGTCTTAGGATTGATCCTTAAGATGCTCCGTCGCTCAGGATCTTTTTTCGCTGACCTTGCTCCATGGCGTACATCAAGATGCGCTCCACATGACTCTCATAAGATACTCTGAAACTTTGAATATCATCTGTGATACAGTCAACATATCATTCCACCTGGCTCAGTTGAAGGCATTTTTCACGTCAAGCAGGACGAGAAGTGTGATTCTTCTTGAGTGGTGGTTGCCAGTCTGCTCTAAGTTGGCTGCTTCGATTACTGCATGTACTGCATGAATGGTGGAATGTCCTTTTCGAAAGCCCTGCTGCCGTTGTGACAGTCCTCCTGCCGCTTCTATTACAGAGTTTATTCGAGATTGGAGTAGCTTTTCGAACACTTTTCCTGCCGTGTCGAGCATACATACAAGAGGCTGATATTCACTTGCCGTGTTATTACCTGCTGAAAACAGCATATCTTAAACGCTCGTTGTACATATCGAGAATTAATCTCGGGGAAGCTTTAACCGCAGCCTTCATTGCCTACGCCGGTAGTCTGTCAGGTCCAGGTGCTTTTCCGCTTCTCAGTGATTGGGCTGCTCCGATTTGTGAATAGGAGTGAATAGAAGAACGTCGTCCGGTAGTGGTCCCTCGTCGTGATCAATTCTTGCGTAATGATCTGGAGAAAGGGTATCAACCATTTCCTGCACAGTTACGGCGTCCACGATAGTGTCGGGGAGGTAGCCGATTTTTTCAATACAATTCGGTATTCAAGACCCTAAGGATCGTTGTCGACTTCACAATCGCTCGCCCTTTGCAAGTCTTGCTATTTTTGGTGGGCCCCTCGGGCATTTCGATGGTCACAAGCAAATGTGTTGACGTCCTCTCGGCATCTGGCTTTTTTCGCCCTGCATCTGAGTCAGAAGAAGTTTCTTCTGAGATCCACTATTTAGTCGGCTTACCAGTAGGCTGATTTCCTTCCGTTTTGCGATTCTGTTTTGGGTATTTCCGCATCCCAAGCATGTTCTATAAATTGCATCGTAAGTACTACTCTGCACTAGACTTATTTTCGCAGTGTTGGGATTTGCCAGCGATTTCGTCCACAAAATAGGTCATGACCTCCACAAAAATGTCATTGTTCAGCTTTGCGGCGTTCAACCGTGCTGTTGTCATGGGGTTGGGTACCTGTCTGCAATTTGGTTGAGTTCATGGAACCCGATGCATTGATGGTCGCTTCCAGAGTACTCCTCCAATACTTGCCAGTTTTCAATGCACGCCGCTATACCTTCAGTGGCAACTGTCACATCCGGTATCGTTTCCATGTACCTGGGGCGTTTAAAGGTTGTTATGTTACCTGTATTGAGAACAATTAGACTTAGTCTCGCTGCCATTTCCATTTTTCGTCGTCCTCTCGAGTTGGGTTGCGGCATTCCACACTCTGCTGCTCTCGCGTTGAAATCACCCGCAACGACTTCACTATTTATGTTTCTAAGCTTAACCTCTCGATTTTGTAACATCTGGAATTTTGCTATGTTTACTTTCGGGGTGAAGTAGAAGCTCACACGTGTGATTCAACTATTCGCGCCCAAACATCTTCCCCACCGAGAGCTTGTATGTTATGAGTACTCGATAGAGTATCCGATACACAAATAGCTGTAGTGTCTGTTTCTTCACTAAACCAGCCAGGAACGTCTCGGTTAGTGTACTGTTTACTAAGTATTAGGACATCTGTAGCTAGCTCGTTTAGGATTTGTGTTAGCAGGACGTTTGCTGTCCGACTCCTGTTCATGTTTCCTTCGAGTATACGGATATAAATAATAATAAAAATAATAATAATAATAATAATAATAATAATAGTAATAATAATAATAATGTTTCAATTCTATATAATGTATAGTTCTCAATAAAATTGATTTAATTAGAGTTATCATACTTCTATTATGGGAAAAGAGGACTCCTCATATAAAATATTTTAATATAATAATTTATTTTTCTTACAGACAAAATACTATTGACAGAATAAGTACTTCTATCATAGTCATCATTTCCAAAATCACTATCATTATAATTACTGTTTTCCCACGTTATGCTGTAGGTATTTGGTGGATGATGAAATCTCTTTTCACAAGTAAGAGTGCCACGCTATGAACTTTTGTATGTCATTAAACGAGACTTTTCTTTATGGCACTCTGCACGAAATATAACACCAGAGAGCAGTTGGCTGGACTATAACATTTCATGGAGAAAAGGACGTAAATGTAGATTTATGTGATCTATGGATTTTGGCGATAGTTAAAGTTAAATATCATTTGTTTACACAATAATGAAATGTTATGTTGTCGAAGACTCGGAAAAGTTGAAAAAAGCCCAGTATCCTTCGTGCATCACACATGTTGCATTTAAAAGTAAAAACTCCTTAATTAAAATTAATTAATTAATTCGAAAAGAGAACATGTCCGGGGCAAAGAGGGCGTATGGTAACGTATGGTTAAATAGTGTCTGATGACTATTCAGTGGAAAATCTGTAATTGGTCATATAGCGAGACAATTTCTTTAAAACTTAAAAGAAATTCATGAAAGTTCAAACAAATAATGTGAAACGTTTATTGAATTGTTTGAAGAGGAAAATGCATAAAGCCATAGTAAGTAGATGGGGAAATAACTGTAAAACGGGAAAAAAAAAAAAAAAAAAAAGACCCAGAAATTAATTACGTCCAAACCATTAAATGCTGGCATATTCATTTCAGCAATTACTCTCGAGAAATTATCGATTATCAATAAAACGGGTTCCAGGAGGCTGCAAGTAATTATATCATTACCGAGAATTTCAGTTAAATTTCGGCCTGAAATTCCATAATCTGATCGAAAAATATGTAGCTTCTGGATAGCTACCAACATAACCACCTGGAAAATGCCCGGATTATATTGACGATTTAAAACGTGTAGTTTTACTAGAAGACTGAAGTTGAGAAAGCTATATTTCGACATGTAGCGAGATAATTCCTTTAAAAATTAAAGGAAGTTCATAAAAGTTAACATAAACAATGTGAAACGTTTAGTTGGCGAAATGCACACACAGATCTTCGCTGTCTCCGGTTCGCTCAGGGATCATTGACAAACTATGAGTGCTTTGTGCTCAGGGATTGCTCCGGCGCTCTGATAGCGGAGACGTATTTTGGAATGTGTATCTTGTCGTGGGTGGTAATTTACAAAATAGTAAATATTATTAGCATTGCCTGAATAACTCATTGAAAAACTAGAATTATTTTCTCAGAGATGTTGTGGGCGAATTTAATGTTTTAAAGAAAAGTTATTAATCTGACAATTGAACTTTTCTAACCTATATTTCATGTATTTTCTAGTGCGATTCAAACTGATGCCGATGTACGTAAGTTGATAGATGGCAGTGGCGTATTTGAAAGTATTGCGTTCAAGTGAACACTGATAAAAAGCCAGGATTGCCCGAAGAAGGAGCCGAAATGTACCCTGTACTGTGGCAAGACACTGGGTGAGCAGTTTCCTTCTGGGAGCTCTTGTGGCATCAGCTTTGTTGTATTATACTTTATTAGATCGCCATGGTAAGTTTTCTGCATATAATGTATGATCGAGGTGTTCAATAATAACATATTAGTGTCTAATGACACTGAAAAAGAAAATAGAAAAATTTGTAATCTTTATTCTAGATTTCCAACTTTCTATGTACATTATACTTAATTTTACAGTTGATGGAAATAATATGCTTGGTTTCACTGGTCGTGAAGCCAGATTGGCAGGTCGTGTTAGAGAAATGGAAGAGCAGAATCAATTACTTCGTCGCCAATTGAGTATTTCACAAAGTCATTTAGTAGCTGCCATGCGAACCAGTAATCATACTCCAACACAAACTTTTGTTCATCCAACTCATGAACATTCAAATCGTTGTCCAAGCCAGGTAGTTGTGTTTTTGTGGATCTCTTTTATTTATTTTTATTAAAAATATTCAATTGAAACTTTCGTACTGGAAAAGGTTTGTTACATTCTGTAGTTTCTTGTACTGTATTTACGTTTGTACATAATTGTTTACGAGCAGATATTTTTTAACTTACGTTTTGTGTTCTTCTGAGATTATTGTTGAAATATTGAATTTTATTAAGTCATGTTCAACAATTTTTTTTTTTTTATAATATATGAATTTCTAATTTATTATTCAGAAATATTATCAATTAATTACTTCATAATTATTGTGTTGAATGTAATTGCTGCAGTGTCTTGAATGTGATTAATGTGTCAATATCCTCATTCAATCCAAAACCTTTTGCAGGAAGCTGAAGTCCCAAAATGTGAAGTAATACATGTTGCAATTGTTTGCGCTGGATACAATTCAAGCCGTTCAGTGGTTACCTTGATAAAGTCTATTCTTTTCTATAGTAAGAATCCCCTTCACTTTCATCTCATTGCTGATTCTGTGGCTCAAGTAATATTGCAGACTCTTTTTTATACTTGGAGTGTTCCACAAGGTGAGCTAGGTGTTCTTATATTTTATAAGATTTGTTCAGTGAATATTGCTGCATTTGATTACATCATATTCTTGTTTTATTTGCAGCTGACGTGAGTTTCTATCTGGCTGATAATGTAGTTCCTGATGTCTCGTGGATTCCTAATAAACATTATTCTGGGGTATATGGTTTAATGAAACTCACATTACCAAAAGTACTACCAGATACTTTGCAGAAAGCAATAGTACTGGATACAGATGTAACATTTGCAACTGATATTGCTGAACTTTGGAAGATATTTGCAAAATTGGGTCCTAAGCAGGTATTTATGTTTCTTCATTTGCTGTTTCTTTTAAATGACAGTTAAATTAGTCAATTTGAGAAAAAATAGAAATGTTGTTGAAATAATTGTCACTTTGTCATTATGAAATTGATATCTAGAACTCCTTTTTTTGGTGCTTAAGATTTTATTTTAATTATAAAAATATATACATTTTAAGAAACCTTTTTGTAGAATGAAAACTGTGGCAAATTTAAATGTTACTTTCTCCTAATTACCTTTCTGCGTTCCCCACTTACTTATTTCACTTTTAAATTTCTTATTAATTATAATTTCTTCAATACTTGTATCCTTATTTCGCTGCATTAATGTGATTTTAAAAATATTGCAGGCCATTGGTTTAGTTGAAAACCAAAGTGATTGGTATTTGGGAAAATTATGGAAGAAACATCGACCCTGGCCTGCATTAGGAAGAGGGTTAGTTACAATTCTTTTTATAGAACGTAACTTAATTGCATATGTTCTAGTTTTTTGATTCGAAGAAAAATTCCTCTTTTTCCACATGTAATTTCAATTTTGTGAGATACAAAAATTATTTAAGAATTGATCCTCTTCTTAATTCTTGTAGATCTCTTAGATTTCATACGTGTGAAATGACTTCATTTTCTTAATATAAGAAGCTGCGCTGAACATTTTTGTTATTAAACGTTTGTTATTGAACTATCCTCTTAGTAATTGAAGTTCTGGCTGTTGTGAACACAGAATTAACACATCTGCGAAGGATGAAGGTCATCAGTTGGAAATGAAGTTCAGTTTTTGTGAATAATTTAGTAATAGTTAAGACTCACAGAAACAGTACTTAGAAGCGTAAACATAGGCCAAACACAGACCTTTCTGAAATTTAGCTTAATTCTAGGCCACAAAAACTAATTCCATTATTCCTTCTGTGTTTAATTCTGAACTTTTACTAGTTTCTGTAGTATAAAAATAAAAAATTAGTAATTACCCAAATATTAATAGTTTATTAGCAGATTGGTTGAAGTTTTAAGCTATTATATTTCTTTTACCCCTTAACTCTAGTATTTCAGAATTCTTATCATTTTATTTTAGATACAATACTGGTGTTATTTTGCTGCAACTTCAAAAGCTGCGTGAACTTGGTTGGGGTCAGTTGTGGCGGCTAATAGCAGAGAAAGATCTCATTACAATGTTAGCTACAAGTCTTGCTGATCAGGATATATTCAATGCTATCATTAAACAGCATCCATATTTGGTTTACAATCTACCATGTCAATGGAATGTACAACTCAGTGACAATACTCGAAGTGAACTCTGCTACACAGAAGTTACAGATCTGAAGGCGAGTTCACTTTCTGTTTTCCAAATGCTTATTGGTGAATTTTTAAATGTCTTAGATTTGTGGTTCTTTTTATGTATATATACTAATTATTTTGCGTATGGATATCAATTTACATACTTTATAGGTAATACATTGGAATTCTCCTAAGAAATTGAAGGTTAAGAACAAACATGTTGAGTTTTTTCGTAATCTCTATTTGACTTTTCTGGAGTATGATGGAAACTTGCTCAGACGAGAACTGTTTGGCTGCAATAACACTAAAACTTCTCTTAAAGAGAGAGAGTTAAGCAAGGTAAGTTAATATATTTCATTATTAATGATGATATGACAGCATTTATGAAGCACTGCAAATAAAGATAATTTACAACCATTTGCTTGTAGCTAAATGAAGAAGATCCATGTTATGAATTTCGACGAGCTCGAGTAAACAGTTTACGTACACATCTCTATTTTTTGGACTATGAATATGAACCTTCTCCAGATGGCTTTGATGTCACTTTAGTTGCTCAATTATCAATGGATAGGCTGCAGATGGTTGAAGCTTTATGCAAACATTGGGAGGGTAAGTTTTCAAAGAAAGAAAACCCTTGTTCCTCAAGGGGCAAAATATCTTGCTGATTTACTACTGTATGGTTGAGATGAATTGAAATTTATTGTTTAATTTTTTTTTAATGCAAAAAAATGATGCATGCAAAAAATAGATTATTTTGAAAAGGGTGCCTTACTCTACTAAAATTTCTGTGTACATACAAGATGAAAGACAACTTATTTTTTGTTACATAAACTATTTGAAGCTACATTTTAACTGATTTGTGTGGTTTCTAAATGAGTTGTTGCTGGATGTTGCAAGGAGTACAGGTGGAAACAAATAAATTAGTTCAACACTATTTGAAGGTTGCCAGTATTTATAAGACAGATCAATAAATTAAATAACAAATTTTGTCTACATGGAATAACTTCTATAGCGAGTGTATGTCGGGTAAAGAGATGCTGTGTTCATGAAATGTTGCCAGTATTTTACTGACTTGTATTCTTCTTGCTTCAAAACCATGACATGTCACTAATAATAATAAGCATCGTAATCATCATCATATTTTTTGTCACATATACAATTTCAATCGTATATGATGAAGCCCCTAGGGCATTTTCAAAATAAATTTTTTTGATTGAACTTTGCCTTCAGATAGAATAATGGATGCTGAAAGGAATGGTGCAGGTCTCATTTTTGTTAAAATATCTGATTTTTCGAAAATTACAAAAATTCAAAATTTTTTTGGCCATCTTCTTACAACTGTAATATTGAAGGTAAAGATTGATTTCCTCAATGAAATCTGTTTCCTAAAGACAGATCTTAAAATAAGGTAATGTTCAACTTTTCGAAAATACGAGCAGTTTTTGAGTAAGTTTGCACAAAATATTGGCAATTTAAGAAAATTAATTTATTTTTCTCAAAAACCACTCCAAATGTTTCTTTTAAGTTTCTTCACTTTGTAATAAGAGATATTAAAAAATATGGTGCTAGTCCCATTTTCGGATATTGTTGGGTTTTTCGAAAATAGCAAAAAGTTGCAAATAATTTCAAAACTACAAAATTGAAGATAGAAATTTTTGCTCCAGACAAAGTTTGTTGTAAAAAAAAAATTTTTTTTTTTGGAAAGAAAGAAAACAACAATTTTTTGTTGCATAATTTGCGCTTCAAAGTTACGCAATTTCTGAAAATAAATTATTTTCTCAAAAACTCTTCCAAATTCATTCATAGAAGAAGGGGCGCTTAAAAGAATGACGTAAGTCCCAGGGTTGTTGACCTGTCCGTAATTTCGAAAATTACAAAACCTTAGCGTTTGGAAAGTACAAAATGGAAGACAGAGATTTTTTTCTTAAACAAAATCTGTTCTAAAAAAAATTATCTCATTAAAAAAGGTCAGGTACATTTGTTGGAGAAAATGAGTAGTTTTCAAGTAATTTCTACTTGAAATGAATGAGATATACTGAGTGCCCGGGAAGGATTTGTCAAAACTTCGAAAATACGCTCTTAAGTAGGTTTGAAAAAAATCCTTTTTTGGCAAAAATTTGCATTGCAGAGACATAGAAATACTCCAGAAACATGCAAATTGTTTTTTATTTGCAAAAGAAATTAATATATTTGTTCAAAAAGAAAAATTAACACAGAAATAAGAAAGCGCCCAATTTACACAATTCGACTGCTTTTTTGTTTCTCATTTAATTTTACTTTCTGAACAAATATATTCATTTTTTTTGTAAATGATAAATAATTTACATGTTTCTGGAGTGTTTATATGCTTATGCAATGCAAATTTTTGCTAGAAAGCATTTTTTCACATACACTTTTGAGTGTGCGGCTCAACCATTCGTAATACTCCAGTAGCTTATGTGCTTAATATGCTTAAAATTGTCTTTAGAGCTTATTTTCGAAGTTTCGACATTTCCTCCCCGGACATTCTGTATATATTAGGTGTCCCCCCACGGGTGGGACCGTGAGAAGAATCCTTAGAGAACAAAACTGAATGGAAAAAATAGGAATAATAATTTTAATTGTAATTTACTATTGAGAATTCTAATATTAATTATATTCTGCAATTTGTATTCTCAATGTATTGATGTAGTCTATTTCAAGCAAACCATAATGGAAATTTTCACAATAACGGAGTGATGCATATTTGAGAATTTCATAATTCATGTTTGTTGTCCATGTTGCTAGGTATAGAACAAACACACATTTTCACTGAACGAAAGGTCACTTACCAATGTCACTTATATTTCTGCCTCTGTCTCACTTACATTTCAGCAATTCACCAGCAGGACATTATATATTGGAGTCTTTCAAAATTTCAACGAGAATAAAGCAAAAAATCGACAGAAGAATAGAATCGTATAGAACATCGATTATCCTTTTTTTAAAATTTAGGTTCACATTTTGGTTAAACATTTTGTTAGAACTTAGACAAGGGCTTCCAAAACTTAAAGATTTCTTTAATAATTTTACATAATAAAAATGTTGCTGTTTCTTGCCTATAGAATGTTAAAAGGATTCATTTGTCTATTTTAAATGTTTATTACGTATTAGAATAGTTTGGCCACAGACTATATAAATAATAATAGTTTTAAAAAATCTTTGAAATAAAAACACCAAATTTAAAGTTATATTTTCCTGTGCTTCACTTGAAGCAGTGTCATATATGATAAAGTGGTAATAAATTAACATATTACAAATCGTAGATATTAGTAATTTAATTAGTTTAGTAGTATTAGAGTTAGTTATGTATCATCTGCATTATGATGTACTATGACTAACCCATAAACAAGTTAGGTTATTGCAGTAAAAATGGTAGTTTAGGTTATTGCAGTAAAAATGGTTTGCCTAGCTCTTTTGTTTGTATCTTCAGAAAAAGATAGTTAAAGAGGAATGGAAAAAATGCTGTCTAATATTGAAATAAAAGAAATACCTACTAGAGTTTCTTTGGAGTAATTAGTAATTTTATTAAAAAAGGATTAATCATTTGAATACTTTTAGTTTCTTTCTAAGTTAATAAATGTTTCAGTTTACAATCAAAATTTTAAATACTGTGGGAAGTGAAACCTACAACAAAATAGATTATGTGCATCGACTTGCGATCAGGTAAGAGAGAGATCTATCAGTTTGATTTTGCAATAGCTTCCATCATGCCACATTGTAAGATAATTGCTCTGTTCCCATGTGACCCTTGCCTGCCAAAGTGTGACGAGACTTGCTGCTCACATTTATCTGGTTCAAAAAGAAGCCAAAAGATGGTTGTTCAAGGGAGGAGATTCTCCCCTTGTGACATATAGGTTCATTAGATCCTTTTTCTCTTCTGACAGCAGGAGTGTTGAGGATATGGGCGATTAACTCATGGGAGGAGGAAAGGTTGAAATTTCCTAAGCGTGACTTCCATTGATTGCAATAGTTTTCTTGTGGCTTAAAAGCACACATTGCTTCAAACTCAATCAAAATAAATTTCCTCTGGACCTAAACTGGAAAACAATAGTTTCATCTTATAGTGAGGCACCACCATTGTAATACCCAATGCATAAGGGTTTGTAGCACCTTGAAGTCACATAATTTTCGAGGTTAAAATATGTTGCAAAATTAAATATTGGAAATGACCAACAAAATAAATCATTTCAAAACCTTAAAAAAGACTTTAAAAATGCTTCAAAAGTTTTTAAATCCTGAGGTTTTAGAATCACTCATCTTATTTACCAGCGTATAAAGACAACAACAAAATTCTCAACTTGTTTTCCTTTGAATGTTTCATCATTGTTTGGGCACAGTCCAATTTTTATTGTGATTTTTTTTATTTTGGGCTTTAATTATATTTTTCTTTACACAGGTCCTATCAGCTTAACATTATACATGTCAGATGCTGAAGCCCAGCAGTTTTTAAGCTATGCCCTCAGTTCAGAAGTGCTTGGAGGCAGAAAAAATATTGGCTATCATATAGTTTACAAGGAAGGGGTAAGGAATCTTACATTTTTCACAGTTTTTAACTTTTCATTTATTCTTCTATGTTCTTCAAATTAACTTGAAGCAATGCTTTTTTTACAAAAATTGTTTAGAGCTTTTATCCAGTGAATTTTCTTCGCAATGTGGGACTTCAGCAAGTGAACACACCTTATGTCTTCCTTACGGATATCGACTTCTTGCCGATGTATGGGCTTTATCCCTATCTGAAGAAGTCGATTCAAGTTCTGAATCTTGAAACTGCTAAGAAAGCACTTGTAGTACCAGCTTTTGAAACACAACGCTATCGTATCACTTTTCCCAAGAGCAAAGCTGAACTTTTAAATATGCTGGATATGGGAACTCTCTTCACCTTCCGATATCATGTATGGACCAAGGGGCACGCTCCAACTAATTTTGGTAAATGGCGAACTGCTACCACTCCTTACAAGGTATGTAGAAGTAAAAAAACAGTGTAAATTGTAAGTCTACAGAGGATTAAGAAAATATTGTTTTTATCTAGAAAGATGCAAACAGAATTGGTTTTGTTCATCATTCATTCGTCTCAGAGAAATTCAGTACACTTTATTTTCTTATCATTGTAAATTAAATTTGTTTCTAGAAGAATCTCCTAGTATGAAAGTGTTGATAATGGAAAGATTGAAGTACACTGGGACATCAATTATCTGAAATATTTGGGACCAGGTGTAGTTCAGATTTTTGATAATGTGGAAAATCGAACATAATATGGGAAGTGTACATAAAATGCTGTGGTGAAAAGCGTTTCTCTTCTGATACTAAACATTCTGAGTTCTTGAGCATTTATTGTAGAATTTGTGAAAGTTCACTGAAGTCGGATGATTGACAATAGTACAGTAACTCATTAATATTTCATCACTGGCCATCATATTGGGGATTATTCTCAATATTCAGTATTACAAAAGAAAATGAATAGGTATAATATATGCTACCTAATAAAAAAATAATTATTCAGAGAAAATATAAGTTTTAAAATTTGACGTTTCGGACGATTGATAATTCGGATAAGTAACGTCCCACTACATTGTAAAGTTCAAGTTTATGAATATTTTTAAGTAAATGGTTTTGAAAATTCTTTGCCTAATGTCTATGATTTCATTTGTCTTGTATTGGCTCAAGGCACGAATACCAACTATTTTGCATAGAGCATGGTGCATAAAAATAGTGGATGGAAAGAGAAGAAATGAGGAAAGTTCATTCACAAATAAATTTAAAATGAGATTGCACTTTATTTTGAGATGTAAAGAAAAAGTTTGTATCCAGCATCTTTTTGTACAGTATTTTTTTTCCCCACAAATATTTTCTGAATGTATAAATAAGTGTTCCAGAAAGAGCCACTAATTCGTGTGCTCTGGGATCATCAGTGACATTGATTTGAGTAATTCAATAGAACTTGGAAAATTACTTGGTAGCTTTTTATTACTTTTGCCCATTTTACGAACCTTTATCCAACATCCTTACGAACTTTTATTATTTTTGGGAATAGTAGAGTATAGAGTGTAGATAACTTTTTCTTAAAGTTCCAATAATTCGATCCCTGTCCATCGTCTGAACAACATAACAGCTTAACCCTACATAAAATTTTCAAAATATCATTTACTTTTATTTTTTTGATATCGCATATTTTTCTTGAAATATCCCCATTTTTTTTATGAAATATTATCCAATTTAATTTTTGTCAATTACAGCACCATCTGTCAGCCAAAATGACTTTAATTGTAGGTCAATTTTTTCTTCTTTTTTTCCCCTGGGGAATCCAAATCTGCAATAAAAAATGGGGGTTCCTATTTAAGATTGTTTTCTCTGTCCCTCCTCCCCCTCCCACCACATAGGAGGTGAAGGTAGCTGGTAGAGTTGGTATCATTGGATGTCCCTTGCCGGAAAAAAATATCTTTTATTACCCATTTCTTTTAACCGATTTGCAGTTTTTGAGATATTTACTTTGGTAAATTAAAATGGCCCATCCTGTATATCTCAGTGAGGGATGAAGAATTTAGAACCTATTCATGTAATGTCACTAACCCAGGTTTCAAACAAATATCTCTTTGGAATGTAATGTGATAATATTAAATGGCAATTATTTTCAATAAATTTAGTTCAATTACAAAAAAATGTTGGATGGGGAAATGGTACCATTACCTTCTCACTCCTCTTGGAGATGCCACTAGCAGCAGGGTGCAGCTATGTAAACATAATTTTCTGTACTACATACATGTTTTATATTTCGTGTAAAATTCATGTTGTGAGGTGCAGGCAAGTGTCCAATTATTTCTGTAGAGTGGGACTTCACTGCTACAAACGCAAACACTGCTACATTTAACGTCTAATTGGTGATGCTTTGTGTTTAAAAATTTGAAAATGCGTTAATGGAGCGTTTTCAACACAATCGTAAATGTGTATTTTTTTAAACAATCATGAACATATTTTCCTGATTATTATTACAATAAATTATGTTCTCAATACCTATATAATTTTTACCTAACGACTTATGTAAGTATTGGATTTTACATACATTTGGATATCTGTCAAAGTTTTATCAGCAACAAGAATAGTTTTCAATAATAATTTGTGATTTTCTCCTTTCTTCTTGAAATAAGATTTAGAAGGACAATTTTATGACCAAATCTGCAATTTTTGTTACTAAAAGTTTACTTAATTATCCTTTTATAGCATCTTATCTTTACCTTGAAATACTCTAGGTTCCACTACTTGCAAATATCCCGAAGTTGTAAAAGTATTATTTAATGCAATAAAATTTTTAATTTCCAGGTGCAATGGGAACCTGATTTTGAACCGTACATTGTGGTACGTAAAGACATCCCAGAATATGACACCCGCTTTGTGGGCTTTGGTTGGAATAAAGTGTCTCATATTATGGAACTCGAAGCACAGGGTTTTGAGTTTGTGGTTCTACCAAATGCATTTATTGTACATATGCCTCATGCTCCCAGTTTTGACATAGCAAAATTTAGAAGTTCATCTCAGTACAGAAAGTAAGTATTTGTATATGTACAGTAAAACCTGTCTAACACAGAAACCTGCCATCCCGAACAAAATATCTCGGAACTGAGCAATTTTGTATGTGAACATGACCTCTATAGGCTGAAAACCTGTCTTACACGAAAACTGAATGACATCTAGAGAACTTCAATAGATTATTAGATGGCTAAGAAGAAAATTTATTTTTAAATTTTGGGCACTCGGAGATGGCATAGTGCAAAGGGCCACATCCTGAGAAAATAGAACGAAGTGAACGAAGAATTGTTCCTCTTACGTCTGCTACTCCTTTCTCATCATAGTTTGGGGTTATTTTCAAAGTTGCAGCAAGTGCGATGTCGTCGCTTGTGCTCTGAATCCTTCATGTTGGTCATTTGCACCTTGTTCAATTCTCAAAAGTGTCGTTATGTTTTCATCAGTTTTATCAGACATCAGTCAGGGTTGACAGGGTATAGACCATACAGTACAGTGACCGTTCGTAGTATGGTGTAAGAAGGCTGTATGCTAGTGTGTCAAATTGTTTGAAGTGTACGTGCAAAACCCTTTTGGAACAGAAGAAAATTGATGTGAGCGTAGAACATCAGACGAAACTACATTCTGCAAAACGCCTAGTTGTGAGATTCAAAGTGAATAAAACTCAAATGCGTGATATCTTATGAAGTAAGGATAAGGATAATAAGTGCAAAATTCCAAACCAAATGGTTAAAAGGACAAAATTGTATTGAAAATATCGTTCTTATGTTACATGGTGAAATTTTGGCAATGCTCTATAAGATGGAAATCTGCTAGACAGCCATTTTGTTAAGGAGCCTTCAGGTTCTCTCTCAGACAGGTTTTACTGTAGTTTGTTTTTTTTATACATGTATACTTTGCATTCTGGTTTCAGCTCAGCTCAATCTTTTTTCATTAAAGATCTTCAATGCCTAGTCTACATACTTTTTCTTATTGTTGTAATTTAGTTCTTTATGCTCAAGATTTGATTTGGTCTGTGAGTTTGATTCCAAAATCAGTGAAACAAGATGCAATTTTTTAACAAAATCTGTAATATTACCATCTGCATAGGTAGTGTGTGTTTTCTACGTACAGGGAGAGTCACGTAACTTTAGCACCTCCTATAACTTTTGAATGGTTGAAGTTACTGCAATGCAGTTTTCACAGAAATGCATGAGGGAATAGGGCTAATTGATACATGTAGTCATTTCTATTTTATATATATTGTATTTTACAATATATTTGAGATACCAACTTTATTATTTTTTTTTATTTTATTTTATTTTTTTTAAATTTTATTTACTAATTTTGATTACTTTGCGACTAGTGTTTAACTTTGAATGTAACAATCAACGCGGTTTGCCATTTCAAATAAACAGCTCTGTACTCCATTGAAAATGAACGGTGTGCCATTGCCTGATGTTACGGTAAAAAATTTTTAGGTCCTTCAATTCAGTCAAACCTTAAATAGAACGTCCATATAAATGAATTGAACACTAAATTACGTTCTTTATGCTACGCTTTCAGAATTCTTTCAAATTTAATCAGCCTCCATACTGCTCGTTTTGTATATTTCGCGAATGTTCATTCCCACCTGCGATATGGCATAATATTCTTTGGAAATACATCTTACAGCTCCCACACTTTTAGATTACTAAAATGAATTGTACGAATAATTAGCAAATCCCACCAACATGATTCTTGTAAGCCTTTCTTTATTAATCCAGGTATTTTACCATTGCCTTGTCTCTTGATGTATGAATCAGTGTTTTTTGTCAAAAATGACTTAAGGGCGAGAATATATTTTCAGCAAATGCTCATGCCTATAATTACAACACTCCTCTTAGTAATCAAATGGACATCAGGTGACAGTATCAACAGCTCACTAAAAAAAAATCACATACAGAACACGTACATATTTGGAAGACATTATTTTACAACACTTTGCCAGATGACATTAAACAATTCAATTCGATACAAAAGTTTAAATCCCAAGTAAAATCTAAATAAATCTAAATCTAAAATAAAATCTTTTCTGTTGCACAACTGTTTCTATACAATTAGAGACTATATCGAGCCTCTATAATTTTGACAGTGACATTTAATGTATTATTTACCATTTAGATTGTATAATTCTAAAGAACCTGTAACAAGTATTGTACTTCAGCTTCTGGGTCAATGACTCTCATCTCGATCAGATTTTCACCCAGTTTAACTGATCCTTGAGCAAATGCTGAGATGGCCCATTGTTTTGCTTCGAGGCATAAATATAACTTTAAATTAACATCCCTCCCATAGCACGTCACACAAAGTTTTTACTGTTTTTGTCGTAAATAAATAAGTAAATAAATAATTAAATACATAAGTATGTAAACAAACAAATAAAGAAATATAAAAAATAATGAAATAAAAAATAATGCAGTAAAAAGTAAAGAAATAACCAAATTAAGAAAGAATGAAATAAATAAGATAAAGAAACAGATAGGTAGATAAATAAAGACACAAACCAACAAAAAAAAAAAAAAATTAAATAAAGAAAGAAACAGATAAACAAACAAACAAATAGCGCTCCTCCTGCTAGCCCGCCGAAAAAAGGGAAGGGAACTTAGTATTTGAAGATATGAAACATATTCCAAATATTCACAAATCTGTTACTGTGTGTTTAATTTCAAATTCCCATTAATATCCTATGGTATGACACCCCTTTAAGTGAATCCCTTTAAGTTTTTCAATACATACTACTTATGAAAAATCCATATTTTCAATCATTAAGTAATTCAAAATGTATGGAAACACGGATGGATGGAAAGCAGAGTTCAGGAAAAATCTGCAACAGTTTTGTGAATATTTTTGAAACCTATATTATTTCTTCAAATACTAAGATTCCTATTCTTTCCTTTCCTCTCTCCACTCCACTCCACTCTTTTCCTTTCCTATCCATTAAACACTAGTCCCAAAAAAATCAAAATTAATTTTTTTGTGATTTTTTTGGGCTTCTATACATAACAGTATAGTTCATTTTGGTGAAACATCATTGGTAAATAATGTACCACTTAGAAATTATATCCTCTTGAGAATTGGAATTATTCCAAGTTTTCAACTATAATATCTCTGTTGTGGGACCAAATAAAAATCTGAAAATTGCACCCATGCTAAATTGCTGTGATACCTAACTTCAGTAAAAATTTTACTCCTTTTCTTGCAGGCGATCACCTCCGATTTGTGGCTGCCCGGCTGCTGTCGGAGACGGTCGTTGTTATATATACCTGAAATTCTGGCAGGCTAACAGGATGCATGCATAGAGGAGGTTTTGGGTCCGTCGGCCAGTAAAAGTTTCTGGCTTGCGTGTTAAATTAAATTACTACGATGGCTGGTTTACATGTATTTAGTTGCTGCTATTAACTGGAAATGACTAGAAATGTCGCTATAACAACAGCAAATAGCCCAACAAATGCCACTTGGCACAAGCCAACATTAAAGAGCGAAAAATACCATTTTTGATGTTCCTGTGTTCTGCTTATTTAAGGGCTTGCTATCTGTTCCCACCTATGCACGTTAGCACCCACATGATCAAAAAGTCGATTGACGACAAAACCTGTCTGTCTGTGAACAACGCTAGCTGCTAAACCATTTAGACAATCTCCAAAATTGATATTCCCTGATTGATCTGGCTGATGACGCGGTCCCTTCAATTTGAAACGGATGTTTTAATGTGTGTGTGTGTGTGTGTGTGTGTGGGGGGGGGGGTTACATGGCCTCATAGATTTTGATAAAATTTTGTTGCTGGAAAGTCTGAAGGACATTTCAGAAAATGGATCAGGTCTTATGTTTGTTTAATAACGAAATTTTTCAAAAACTGTAATTGGAGAAAGACACCAAAAATTTTTTTTCAGTTTTTTTTACAAGTTTTTACTTAATGAAATGTGTTTTCAAAAACTGATCTTCAAATAAGATCATATTGAATTTTACAAAAATATAAGTATTTTTGGAGTAATTTGGTGTCAAACATTGAGGCCACTCCATATTTCCTGGGCTTAATGAATGTAATTTGAGAAGTGTTTTGAAGCAATTGGTTGCTACACATGTTAGAATTTATATATTTCATATTTCTTTGTTCGTATCTTCTTGAAGCTTTTGTTATACGTTACAACATTAATCTTTTAGAAATTATTTAAAACCTATATCAAATTGTGTTCTTTAATTTAGTTAAATATGCAAACAAATCGATGATTTCGGTTTGCTTAATAAGATGTGGGAATGAAAAGTAATGCATGTAAAAGCGGAGTAATTTTGATGAATATCAAAATATTATATTCTTCTCATTTTCATTTCCTTGCTAATTGGCAAAATGTGTATTTCATACGAATTAGCAGTCATTGTTGCTTGTAACCCATTGTTGTAATGACACATTGATAACAGTAGGCGACTCCTGCCTTTTCTACCACATTAATATAAATTAATAATTTTATTTAATGCTAAAATATGCATTGTGCATCGTTGATACATTTATGTTAAAAAGTGAATACACTGAATACAATGGCAGAAAGCTGTTTTCATTTATGCGTTTCAATTTTAATAAATATACGTATATTTCACGGTTTAAGAATTTTTTAAATGGTTGTTGAAGCATAAGACAGAAAATGTAATATTATAATATTACATTGCCATTAACAATATCGGGAGAAAGTACATGCCCTATATGTTGTAGCCCCAGTAGTTTAATTGAATTACTCCACAAGCGAGTTTTGGCAAGTTTTAATTCTGAAGTATAATTCTCTTACAGGTGCCTGAAGATTTTGAAGAATGAATTTGTAAAGGACCTCAGTAAGCGTTATAGTAAAGTGTTTGATATTGAAACGAGCTAATATTAAATACTGAAGAATGTTCAGGTAATAATTAAAATAATAATAATAAAAAGCTTCCATCCATCCAAATGTTTCATACCCTTTTATGTTCCTGTGTCTTGGTGAGAGGGTCTTCTCTTCCTTCTGTGTATTTTAAATGTTAAAAAGTTGTTAGAAACTATTTTGGTTTCATGGGGAGAGATCTTGGCCACTACAGTATTGAAAATGAAGAGACAATGCATTCTTGAATTGCTGTAACTTATTTTTGGGAAGTTTTCATAAATGAACCAGTGGTCTCTTTTCATCCCAACCAAAATATTCAGCCACTAACATAAATTTGTTTATATGTGACCTATATGTTAGCTTCTGTGTGTAGATACCATGGTTCCAAGCGGTTTGCTGGCACTATCCCAGAAACATTGTAGATTGCAATGTTAAAATATGCAATGTTGTGTACCAAATTGTAAAGAGAAAAGAAATTTATTGTATAATACTGTATTGTTTATAATGCAACAGTTTATTTTATGAAGAAATTGTGGAGAGAGAGTGAGAAAATATGTGCAATCTTTGAATATAGGTAGAGGTTTTCATTCATTTGGATGCTTGTACAAAATATGAAATATTATTGATTAGCATAAGGCTGTTTTTTAAAAGGGTTACGTGAAAAAAATGCACATCAGTTTTAAATGTTGTATACTCATGTGCTATGATGTGCTTGTTCAAATAATATGAACTATTTTATTAATTAATAGAATTGTTTAAGTACATGAGTTCTTGTAACTTACTTGAAAAGATACACATTTCCTAATGTGGAATAAAGTGTAAGATGTATTAATGAAGTACACAGGCTGTCTCTGTGAAAACATTATTGTATTGTTGGTTCATATGTTATTACTTGACCTGATGCTTATGAATTTTGCCTTCATGTTCATTCATTCATTTTGCTTTCATACTAGAAAGCCTTACCTACAAAAACAGAAGTTAAAATGACTGTATCAATAAAATTGTGTTTGAGTATTGATTGAATTTTGAGAAAACGTGAGTAGTAGGACATGTCTGAGAAAATATTTTAAGTTTGTAAACTATTTCTACTTTATATACATCATATTTGTTTATGTACATGGGATGATCTATATTACACAACCCAACTACTTTCTTTATTTCACTTTTTTTGCCACAAAATATTTTTCTGGATCTTGTAGTGTTTCACTTCTTGTTTTTGTAATAGATCAAAATTGTCATTATTTTTCTTGTTTGTCATAATTTATTTCAATATTGTGATTGTCTTCATCAATTGCCATTTTCCATCAATTTACAAACCAATTATCAATCAGTCAAAAATCAAATCAATCAATATACATGGCCTTTAGTTTAATTTGCAAACCCTGCCTGAGAATGCTCCTCTTGTTTTGGGAATTTGGTAACACCTGAAATACCTTTGGCATCCCTTTCACTTTTTGTGACTCCCGGCCGTATGCCCTCAAATTTTGGTCTGGGAGAATGTAGGTAATTTTTTTGTTTGAAGAAAGGCAAAGCACTTATTCTGCCCTTGTTACTCTTCAATGTGTTGCAGCCTCTACAATGAAAAGGGTAAAATTATTGTTATAAATAATAATGAGCTTGGCAGTAATATTTCTGAAATATCTTTCTAATTTCTCCCTTAGCCGGCTTTCATTAAATAATAATGGTTATGTGGCTGTTAATAAATCCATAAATGAATCATAACTTCCCTTCTCATCTTCAGTTTTACAGTTTTATCTCTTTAGCACACTGGACAGTGTCACCTAAAGAGAAGTTTGTTTGGCCACTCATGTCTCTACCCACCCCATCCACCCTGTGCAGTGTGAAAAGATACCTGCCTGCCTAAACTCTTGAATGGGAAAAACAGAAACAGGAAAGTTGCTGCTGCTAATGGTCTGATGCTTACCTTTTCCGCTGCCTTGACGTGACTGCCATAGTTGACTTGGAAGTAGCCAGAGACATGTGGGTGCCAAATTGCCAAAAAAGAAAATGCCCAGTCATGGGTTGCAAGTTAAACTAAAGACTTGGTACTAGAATCCACATCTGTGACTGAAATATGATTCTGCTAAGTTCAATGAAATGACAACAGTTACAGAACCAGCCCTTTAACAGAATCTCAAGAAATGAAGTAGCATCCCAAAGTGCATTGAATAAAACCGTTACAAGTCACATGATATCAGTGAAATAGATCAATAAATTAAAGGCACAAGGGAAACTGAAACAGCTAAATGTGAAAATTGCTTCTTCTGTCATTCTATTATTAAACAGGTTGAAGTGAATGGTTCTTTTCTAGGAAATTAATTTTTGGGAGTATTGAGACTTTATCTCCAACCAATTTAGCAATCTCTTGTTCATTTAAAAACATTTTTTATATTCCACCTGTATTTTATTGCTTGTATTTTATTTTTTTCTACTTGCCTTTTTGTTTATATTCCCATCAAAAGTTATATTTCTTAAACCTTGGTGCTTAAATGAAAAGTGACTGTTTTGTATTTATTTATTTATTTATTTAAAATGCTTGATGAGACCAAGTATTTTTAGAAATTTCTTATGCGAGTGAATTGGTCAAAAGTCTAAATACAGGCCTTAATATGTCATTTGTCTACTCAACTTTACAAATATGAAAAGAATTTTTGTCATTCTACATTACATTTGCATGACGTTAATTTTTGCAAATTTTTTTTGGAAATTCTGAAGGCTAGAAGCAAGCAAGAACACTAATTGTTGAAAGCTCAAATATATCATGTATTAGCGAACCTTATTTTGTCTCATCAAGGCACTGAATGTGAAGGGTGGTTGGATAGAAAAGAATGATTTGAGGTACATTGGATATTAAGATCACTACAAAAGGTTAGTAAACTGAACTACCCATTCTAAGCTGCTCTACAGTCATTGAGAAAATTAATTGCTATCTGATGGCTTACACAAAACAATCTATCAATAGTCTTCTCTCCTGTTTCTAGTCTTCAACCTAGGAATAAAGTAACTTCTGTGTTTGTATTTTGAATAAGTTTATTAGTGCGGGGATAGTGCCAAATAAGGTATTGTGATAATTATGCAAGATTGTTTTTTATTATTACAACTATTATTTATTAACATTTTTGTACATTTTACTGTATTTTTTGTCAATTTGTAATAATCCTATATTGTGAAAATGAAGTTGTGCTTTTTGGCAGCTGTGTAAATTTGTATATTTGTTGTTGTTATACATGACCTTTTATTTGTTTTTTTAAGATACGACAATACTTTTGTTACTTTAGTAACACATATGAAGATTAATTATGCAAGTATTCCATTAAATGGTTTGATTTATATTTCATTAATTGTTTTTCATTGTTATAATCAAGATTTAAGTTACAACATTACTGCTAGGAATAGGAGATTTATTAATATATTATTTTGTGTTAGTATTGTCTACGTCTTGTGTTCCACATATACAAATAAGAGGTTTCACTTGTGTCTCTTGCCTGATGATGTAAGATATTCTGGTGCAAATGCTTGATTATCTGTAGAATTAGCAAGAAGTAGATATGAGAGTATATGTTGTCTCCTCAACTTGTTCTACAACTTCAAGAATTCCATACCCAAGTCATATCAGTTAGATATCTTGAAAGCTGTATGTTTCTTTGTTTTGCTTTATTTTTACATGAGTTGTAGCTTTGCCATTGATTGAAATATCTTATGAAGATAGTCCACTTTTTTTTGCTTTGACATAGTCGTTTTGTGAGATTTTGTTGAACATAGCCAGACACAAAGTCTTAATATATTTTATGCAGATTTCTCCTTTTTGACACAAAAACATTTTTTATTTACTGATCAGTGACCTTGCAATTGAAGTTTTGGAGGCAAATGCTTTTGAAAATGTGTTATTCTGCTCTGGGTCAACAGAACAAAGGAAGATGCTGTGACATGTGAATTGTCTCTTGACACAAATACATACACCTGTTAAGTGGTCGTTGTGTCTTTCTTTGAACTAATCAGTTTGAAAAAGAACATACTTTCTCAGTTGCATACCTGAAGTGAAAAAAAAGAATTATAGTTTCTTTCATTTAAATAGTTATGGCAATTCCTGCCCAAGCTCTTAAGAGCCCAAAAATTTTGCTCTACTCTCTTAAGCACAGTTCCTGTGTATTTAAAATATTCAGCTGCATTTTCATCAGAAAGACTACATTCAGAGATACATTATGTGGAGTATACAGTGTAGTAACACTGTTGAACATCACTGTCAGTTATAAAAATGGTGCCATTTGTTGCTTTTTGTTACATCATCACCTTATTGGGAAATTTATAAATTAATTATGGAATGTTTATTCTGTGGAGCAATACTTCCAAAAAATAAAGAGACTTGAATAAACACAGGGTTTAAATAACTTTCAATCACTGTCAGCTTGTTCATAAGAATGGATATTTGCATCACATTTTCCACAAAATTTTAGCACACTTGAGATGAGAATGAAGTAAGGTGGTGATGTACTCGTAACTTTGTGTTCTTTTATGTGAGTATGAAAGGAACCATTTTAAGTCCTGTAAAAGAGGCATGTGATATGTAGGCTGCAGTGCCTTTTTAGCATTATTTTGTTACATGTCATGTTTCATGACATAAAATTAATTTGAAGGCCTTGTGATTGGATCTGATTTAACTATTGTGTGGGGCCAAATTATTTAGTAGTATTCTCTTATTTGTTTGCTTTAATTTAACCTTGATGTAATAAATAGTACTGATATTGAAAATATCTCAATCTTCTGCAAATGATGTACCTATATGCTTACATGCTAATGCTGTGGTGATGGTGAATCAATTTGGTGTGTAGTTTTAAATATGTTAAGTTCTTTTTGTGTTTAATTTTTTTCTCAGAGTGCAATGTTTATCATAAACCTTTAACTCATGGTTGAACAAGGAATCCAAGCCAACATCCATTAAATGCCTGTACACGAACAGGTGTTTAAGTCCAAAAATTATTATAAGTCTTGTTTATTTCAATTTTTCCAGTATGTTATTCAGATCACATCTACAAGGCTGTTGTAACTTCGAAGGTGTTAATGCACTCATGTCCTTGAAGTGTGATATTATTTTAATGTCCATTAAGTATTAATAATTTTTGTATTAACATATTTTCATGTATTCTTTTAACATATATTTAGAAGTATTTCATGCATTTTCTGTGAAAATTTACTGATCAAATGAAGTTCCCAAGAAGCTTGCAGAAAAAATGCTGCAGACATGCTAACAAATCAATAAATATTGTTATTATGTTTTCCAATGATGTGTTTTAATATGTCACCCCACGTCTTTCAGAGTAGCTCATAATCGGTGACCTAATAATCATTTGATTTCCCTGTCACAGTGTTGCCAGAATGTGTTTTATTGCTGAATTCTATGCTTTAAGTAGCCCAAATTGTATGTTTACATTCCAAAACTCATTACACAAAATGTTGAAGGCTTAACATCCAGACCAGTTAGGTCCACTTAAAAACTTTTCTTGAAGGAAAAGGACACTTTAAAAATTTAAACAGAAGTTCTATAATTTACTTATATCAAGTGTAAGTTACTTTTTGGCAGTTCTCCCCATTGTCAGGTCTATTGTGATACAATACAATTTTAGTTACTAAACACAGAAGGATTTATGTAAACTTTACAAGGATTAAAAAACTTATACGTAAACTTACTATTTTTTTAATTATTTGTCTTACGAAGTTTTTCGTAAGAAGAGAACATTGTGTAATCATGCACAGAAAAACATATATTGCTGGGCCCTCGTTAGCCAAAAATTGGTTATCTTCTGTTGCTAAATTAAGAAAAAAATTCTCTTAACACGTGGTGGGTCCTTGATACCCAAAAATCGAGTGACAGCAAAAATGTAAACGCCTAAACTGTTCAGCCGATTTTCTTCAAAATTAATATTCCCCAATCGATCTGAATAAACTTGTGGCTTTTGGAGTTTCAAACTGATACTTGGATTTTAGAGAGTACTTTACATGCCTCAAAACGACACCGAATTTTTTTATCAAAATGTGCCTTTGGATAACGTAAAGAACGCTAAAGAGAATGGTGGAGATCTCCTGTTGGAATCACAATTTTTTTGAAAATTGGAAAACGCAATGTTTTTGAGTGCCTTTCTGCAACTATAATGTCGAAGGTTAAGATTTTTACCTTTATGAAATCTGTTTCTTAAAGACGAATCTTTAAATAAGTTCATGTTCTATTTTAGAAAATATGAGTAGTTTCCGTGTAATTTTGCGCTAAATGTACGCAATGTTTTCTCAAAGAACGCTCCATTTTTTCTTTAAATTTTCTCATGTAATAAAGAACGGTAAAAAATATAGTATTGGTCCTATTTGCGGCTATTCCGTTTTTTTTTTCGAAAATGACAAAAAGTGAACATTTCAAAACTCTAAAATTGGAAATAGCGATTTTTTTCTATAAACAAAGTTTGTTGTAAACAATCGTCTCTTAAAAAAAGGTAAGATACAATTCTTTGAAAGAACAAGCTATTTTCGCTTAAATAGTGTCTGAAATTTAGGCAATTAATAAAAAAATGTTTCAAAAATGATCCAAATTTTCTCCTCACCCTCATAATAAGGAACGATAAAAATATAGTGCTAGTCCCGTATTCGGCTATTCCGTTTTTTCGAAAGTGCCAAAACGTGAACATTGCAAAATGCAAAACTCCAGACATGGACTTAGCAATTTTTGCTTTAAACAATATCTTTTGTAAAATCTCATCTCTTTTAAAAAAGGGCCATTACATGATTTGGAAAAAAAAACTAGGGCTTTATTTCGGCGTAATTAGTGGCCTAGAAATTAATGTCATACAATTTCTAAAAATATTTTTTATTATAATATTCCGCTAATATAATTTGCCTCTAAAATGTTCTCTTCATCTGTATGTAGTCGATAGACTATGGATTAAATTAAGATAAAAACTAAGTATTATAGAATGCTACTATCCTTGAACTCTCGCACTATGTTTCTAATCTCTCTAGTCTCGATTTGCTTTGGTATGCTTATTCTCTTTCCCAGCTGCATCCTTTTGTCGCACATAAGAACTTTTCACAATTTACTCAATTTTTCGGCTCCCTTTTTCTAGAACTGAAACAGTCGTGTGTAGAATATTTTAGAAATATACAGTTGTCTGCCCCAGACGACCGTGGTAGTTAAATGAAAAGTACTGATTGAGCGCATCGATGCAAGAGATCGCTGGTTCGTATTACGAATAAGAATTTTAATTTGATGAATGTGTTGCAGAAAACTATTGAGAATTCGAGGAACTTTACTGAAAATCACTAGATGCATTCCTACTTACAAATACAATTAATATAAATAATAAACCGGACGTGTCTGTATGTGCTTTTCGAGCTTGCAACTTATAAACATTCTTCAGCTCTTATTCGATATCGAAAACGTATGTCATGTCAAATCAATTGTTATCTGTCTATCCATCTGTATGCAAGTTTTTTTTACTTTCTCATATACATACATAATTACGCAGTAATATATGTAGTACAGAGAAAGTTGTGTAACACTGCAAGAAAAAACGGCGAATTTTCGGTAAAAAAAATTCTTTGCCGGGCCCTGATAGCGAAAGAGTTGTTAAATACATTGCTAAATTAAGTGGAAAAAACCATCTAACACGGTGTAGCCAGAATTCCTGTTGCAAGGATCCTTGATACCGAAAACTCAAATGACTGCAAAACGTCGGTCAGTTCGCGTGTGAACACCACTGTGAACCTAAACTATGCGTAAGATTTTTTCCAAAATGGATATTCCTCAGTCGATCTGGCTTGAGTCGAAGCTTTGAGATTTTGAGAAACATTCTTTGGAATTTGTGATTACTTTACATGAAGCCCCCCGGGCATTTTCAAACTCTCAAAAACGGCTCCAATTTTTTTCTTTAAATTTCTTGAAAGAATAGAGTATAATGCATTTATGAAGAGGGCATTGGTACAATTTTAACAATCAACTCTGAATTAGCTACATCACAGCCGAATCATTTAGCATGTGTTTGAAATTTTATGAGAAATATCTAATATATAATTCACCAACAGAAATAAGACTTTTCAAATTCAAGAACTATTTATGTATAATTGTGTTATCATGTAAATATAAAAAATTGTGTAAAAAATGCGGAATTTTGAGCTATTTTTCACAGAAAACAGTTGAGTTTTCGAGAACCTTTATATGACATAATTGAAAGCACATGTACTCATAAATATAATGTGGACCAATTGCCGCTAATATAAATATTAACTACGTAAGAGACAAGTAAAAAATTGCATTTTTGTAATTAAAACAAACAACAGAAACAAATGATCAATATAGCCTATATATGTTATCTTATAGAGTGCGTTTAGCAAACTTTTTCGAATACAACAATTTATCAAATTTAACGATTGCGAGCGATGAAGAATCTGAAGAAAAAAATTGGAACCGTTTGTGAGAAAATCTTGTTTTTGTATTTTTTTTAATTAATAGAACTGTATGTATACTGAATTGATGTGTTGTTTGTAAGCGATCTTATTTCTATATATTTGTGTTTTTCGTTTAACTGTATTTACATTATATTAGTAGTTAGAATAACAATATTCACAATGTCTTCACTACGTTCGACATATAACTGTAAAAGTAGAAATAATCAAACCAGAAATATATACTTTTTCTGGTAAGTCCTCTCTTAGTCCTGTTTCTAACACAGACTTCGATTTATATTTCATAAACTTCAAATATCACTAATTTATTTTATTGAATAATTGCCATGTTTTGACTAGAAAAAGGAAGGGTTAAATAAAGGTGACTTCAATTTCCTGCAAAGATGGCGGCGCTTGAGCCATTCTATGCAGTATATTCTAACTCGTTGGGATACCAAGATCCGATCCGTCTTCTCACTGTACTCGCAGGGCTAACGACATGAGTGTCGCCGGGACTCTTTCCAGGGCGGGGGCCTCCTGCGCATCATACCCGACTTCAACCAATGAGTTTTATATACCCGTTTGCCTCACAATATTTGCGGGAATTTTAAATGCAAACGATTACCAAAATTATCACCTCGTTACAAGTAATTTAAACATATGTATGAAGTATTTCTTTAAATATTGCATCTTGAACATCTTCATCGTGTTATTTTTGCTTGGTTACCGTTAAAAATTGTTACTTTGTACTACTTTCAAAAGGTTTCTCAACACTTCTCGCTCTCCGTCCAACATGGTGGCCAGCGTCAGGTTTGGCATTTGAAACGTGCCCGTGCTGCGGTCACACGCAGCAAACTGGTGTTGCGCAGAACGAGCCAAAATCGGTGCGCCGGAATAACTCCCCCGTGTCTTTCCCCCATGGCCGGGACTGCGGAGAGAACGTGACGATTTACGTTTCGTGGCGAATCGCGCAGCCGCCGTGTCGTCGCGCGCTCGTTCGCCTTCAACGACGCCAGGCGGCCGGCGGCCTTGCCGCCCCGAGAACGCGACCGTCTGTGGCACAGGTGAGGTGGGAGCGGAGCCTCGCCCGATAGCGCGAAAGGGGCTGGGGGCCGTGTTAATGGCGGCCGTAACCTTCCCTCGCAGTTTTCCGAAGCGCGAACGGGCAAGGCCGCGCGGAGGTTATATTCTTGTTTATCTCCAGCGCGCCGCGGTGGGGTGTTGGGGGTGGGTGGGGGAGTTTGACTGACGCGCCTCCGCCCGCTGCGTATAAGTCCCTCGCTTCGTGCATTCCGCGCCGGGGCCACCCGGGAGCGGCACCGGAATAAAGGGAGTCGCGTATGTGACGTGCGAGCGGGCCCTTCTTCGTAGGGCGGACCCCGCCTGTGACATGCCGATGATGCAAGGGGTGAGGAGGGGGGGACGAGCCGTCTTATTCGCTCAGGGACCTGAGTGAGACGGTTGCGTGTGGTAATGGCCACCGGTTCGCCGCATAGGGACATGCTGGCGTTCACTCATGGTTGTGGGGGCAGACTTTGCTGAAATGTACAATGAAGAGCCGAAAAAACTGGTACACCTGACTAATATCGTGTAGCCCCCCCCCCGATCACGTAAGAGTGCCGCAACACGACGTGGCATTGGCTCAACTAATGTCTGAAGTAGTTCTGGTGGTAATTGACTCAATGAATTCTGCAGGGCTATCCAAATACTCGTAAGAGTACGAGTGGGTGGAGATCTCTTATGAACAGCTCGTTGCTAGGCTTCCCAGATATGCTCAATAACGTTCATGTCTTGGGAATTGGCTGGCCAGTGGAAGTGTTTAAATTCAGAAGTGTTACTGGAGCCACTCTGTAGCAATTCTGGACGTGTGGGCTGACGCATTGCCCTGCTGGAATTGGCCAAGTCCGTGTAGCGGTTACATTCCGGACCGTAGCTTTACATTTCGACGCTTAAGAAACTTCTAGAT